TTGAAAAATAAAATATTTGTTTCAAAATAGAATATATGACAATATTTAAATATAATATATCCTAGACTGACAAATCATCTCCGTTCCGAATCGTTTTTCGTATACAATGATACCTATTATTGCATTCAAATTTAATCCCATCCATTACAGTAACCTACTGTACAGCAGAGCGACATTCACGACTTATCCCGCTTTTTTATTATATTATTATGAAATAATTTGAATAGTTAAAACAAACAATGTGGGTTGGTGAGGCGGTTTCGTACGCTCAATCTGTGGAAACGCACTGAGCATACGTACTGACTGCAGTTGCTAGCTCCCAGATGGGTGATCTGCACTCGGGATTTTTATCAACAAATTCTTGTCACACATACACAAACACATGTTAGGATCCTACCAACTTTAAAACCTACAAACAAAAATATACAAAAATAATCCCCACCGTGTATCTCCCTACACCCAATGGCCTATGTTGCCTCAATTTCCCCTAATAAAAAAAATAAAATAAAATACAAAAATAATAATTTAAGGTATCATTCATATTATAATATAATATGTTGAATATCTTTGTTCAAAATATAATTATAAAATACTTTACTATCATAAATCATCTTAATTAACCGATTTAATTACTTGAATACATTATACTTATAATGTATATTGTAAAATGGATGTAAAAGTTATAAATAATAATACTTAATACATGTTTTGGAGTTATATCTCTAATGAGATAGTCAATGTTTTTATAGTGACTTAAACTATGTTGTATGGCTTCAAGCGTTTGAAGCGATTGATTGTGCCTAAGACTTGATGAAAAGTCGTTCAGCGATCACGTTTTTGCGTACAAATTCTAGTTTCTAGATTTTAGCTTCTATTCACATATTTGTTAGCAAACCTCTTTATTTCTTCATAGAACCATGAAGATTAACTTGATTTCTAACGAACCGGTATGCTGCGGCTATGGCACAACCACAAAATAGATACAAATCTAACATTATAGGAATAATCAGTAATCAAATTATTACAACTAATATTATAATGTAATGTCTCAATAGAGAACCTAATAGCAATTTTTGATCTATAATACTAAAATAATAGGCCTTTGAAATATTCATCACTATCAGAAATATTATACATTTATTTCATTTTCCTAACTGGAAGGTTTCTTTATATTGACCAACCAATGAGAAGGACCCTTAGTTTGAACGTTTTTAAGGATAATTCTGAAAATACAAAACCAAACGATTCCAATAATGGTACACACAGCCGTTTCTACGTAATAACCATTCACTATAACAACGCAATCCCCTCCATTTGTTTTACACATCTAAAAAAAAAAATATGAAATAATGTAAATACAAATTGCATAAAAAATAAAAATAATTTTAAATATCTATACCCATGGAAGTACTATCAATGGATAGCCTCTTCACTCAAGTCTCCTGTCCGAACTAATGTAAATAATCTTAATTTAATTTAACGTATTGTTGTTATTTAACCTTTATTATTTTATCTGTTCTATATAATCATTAAATCACTTGTTCTTGGTTTAAATTATTATTTTACAGATTGTWCAAATTTCTAGTTTAAAAAAAAAAATAGCTACTAATAATTTCATCACCAAATCGTTTAAATCTAAAAACTATGAAAAACACCATTTGTAAGTTTCGAGAAATAAACACAAGTAAATAATACATATCTTTTATCTGCTTTGTCTATTTATAATTAATATTAAAATGTATATAGCCAAATTAAATTCAATTTTGAATAACTTCCTTACACAAATAATTTTTGCTTATCCTAAAACAACCACATGCTCACATATTATTCCTATACAGAAAATTTAGATATAATAATCAACTAGTCCATGACAAGATCAAACAAAACATTTTTGAGAATGATATCATAATATACAAACAAGTTATAATATTGATAATTATTGTCATTGCTTAATATATTATTCAACTAATTATAATTAAATTTCTTACGTTTTTTAGATTTGGCGTTGAGCAATTATTCTTGTGGTCTAAAGAACATTCTTTAAACGTTAGAAAATCTATCATTCCAATAGCGACTGAAGACGACCAAGCTCCTCCTAGATTTGAAAGTGTATTCAATAATGTCATATAGGTACCACCAAAACGCGAATCACTTATTCGAGAGAAAAAAGATAATGTAGCTACAGTCATAATGTTGGCTAGAATCTATAAAAATTAAATCACACCGTTATTGATATATGATTTACATAATATTACATTTAAATTTTTCATGATATTCTCGTAATACATTTTGATAACAAAATGTATCACTAAACTATCTGAATTAAAATTAAAATGAATACTACTATGAATTAAAATTGCGTAATCTCCAATTAATTAATAAATAATTATTACTCACATCATGTATTGATAATATAAATACTAAAATTGCATAGTAAAATATTGGAATATCAACAAGCCCGTTTATTGTTATTAATGTCGGTGTATAATAAATAAACACCAAAAATGAAATATTCCAAAGTAATCTGAAATTATATTTAAAACCATTTAAATTTCCAAGAATTTTATAATATAAATGTACATATTTTATAATTGATAAAAGCATTTTCTTCAAGCGCCACAAATACAGTGACAGTTATATACTGGTGTTTAATTATACGTTTTAATAAAATAAATACCAGAAATATATTATATATATTTAACAAGTATTATAGTTACCCCATCTTTTTGTTTAATAATGCAGCTATTCAAAACCAGATTTTTGAATTTTTATATACGTATTATATCAAGTATTTAAAAACCATACTATAAGATACTTGTGATTTTTGTACAACTTAAGAAGTGTTCGGAAGGAATGATAAAACAATCTTCTATTTTTATAAATAAAAACCCCCRTACATAAAGAGTTTTTTTTATAATATTTGATTTACTTATCTAAATCAAGGTCAAAGTAGTTTCTGCGTCATTAAAATATATATAACAACAATAATATTCTTTAAAAAATTGTTTAAAAATATATAAACATAATTTAAATTTTATGTTTATTATTCTCAGACAATTTTTACAAATTATAAAGTGTTAATATATTAATATTAATTACATTAATTGTTTCATCATAGTAGACTTAAGTTCATCATAGCTCTTATATTTTCCAAACTTATTATCATGAAATTAACCTATTATTCTTAGTAGGTACAATAGGTACATATAACATAATATTTATTTCGCAGAAACAAGGTACTCGTTTGAGTTTTTATTTAAATTAATCATTTTACGTATACATCGTACACATAAAAATAAGGAAGATCTTACAAGAAGAAATAAGTATAGTAATTCATAATAAGTAATTTTTTATGATTTGAGATTGAAAATACAGTTTGGAAACAATAATATTTTGAATTCATGACTTAAAAATACMAGAAACACAATGTGCTATTAAATTGTCAGAGTATTATAGTTTTAAAAGAATTTACAAAAAAACCCGAGAATTTTATAATGATAAAATTTAAAATTGATATTAAAACAAACATCAATGTTGAAAAAGTTAAAGGAAATATTGTGCATCAAAACAAGATGAGAGACAAAACGATTTTATTTAAAAAAAAAAAAACATATCAACATTATGATTTAAAACTATATACGTAGGTCATAATCTAACATTGTTTATCGAACTGAAAATTGTGTAAGTCATATTTATAATAGTCGAAGTATTGTTAAAAACCATTAAAACAATATGTTTATGAAGACGATTACTTAATATATTACAAAGAATATTAAATGTTTAATTCATAAGACGCATATTCCCATTTAATAGTTATCAAACAATAAGTAGGCCTCTACATAAAATCAATTATAAACCATGGCAAATTAAAAAATCAATATTTTTACCGAATTGTCAAGATTTTTTAAAAAACAAGTTCTTGCATATTCATGACTTTCCCAAATTGCGCGTGAAAATCATTATCTAAGTGAAATTTCGTACAAGGTTTTTTCGTGAAATAGCGTTGTGTGCATGCTGGTTTTATTGTGGCAGAACTGATCTACGTGAAATATGAGCGACATATTATTTTTATATTTAATAAAGATTAAAATGTGTAAATACTGAAAAAATCCAAATAAAAAAAACTACAAATAGATAAATACAAAACACATAATATTGCGTTTTAACTTATAACTTTATTATAATATATTTTTTACAAATTTTGGTTTAGTTTGAATTTAGAAAATTACTAATTGAAATAAATACAACTAACTTAAATAATTTTGTTTCCATTTTTAATTTGTCACATATAATCGATCAGAATGCTAAATTTTACTTATAATATATATTACATATACTTTTAGTTCCCTTGAAAAAATCTATATTGTCAAATTTGCTAGCTTTATATTTCATACTATACAATGACGTATTTAGTGGAGCCAAGGGGGCACAAGCCCTGGGCAGTAAATTTTGGAGAGGATTTTGATATAATACGGTACCTAGGTTATTTGGGTGATAACAAAAAATAATGATATTCAGATAGGTACTAATAAACCATCATGTTTTTTTTTTTTACAAATAAACCTATTGCTAAAGAAATTTAAGTTAGAAGAAGAAGTTGTTTTTTTTACCTGGGGCGAAAAATTCATAAATACGTTACTATAAGAATTATGTACAGTCAGTTGTGTAAGTCAGAAAAAGTCGATAGTTTATTCATTGTTTTACGCATCCTCTCAGTTGTTGACCAAAAATGCTCGTTTTTTTGCACAAAATTTTGCACATTTAGATATCTTTATACATAAAATTATATTTGATACGTAATTTGGCTGTTGGCTGGTTTTCATAATTTATTGGCACATTTTAAATGTATAAGCCAGAAAGAAAGAACATTACGAAGATTTTCAATATTAATTATATTTGAAAATACTCGTAAAAATACAATACATAATATACATAACCAATATTTTCGGTTTCACCTAATCTAAACCTCTAAACACGTGACAAAACTTGTATGTTTTATTTATTCATTACTTTCAATTAATAAGGCCTCAGTGGGTGACAACAATGTGGGTCAAAATTAACACCTAATCAAGTATGTACCATATTGCCTTGGTAAATATGGCATGTAAGAATCAACGAAATATGGTGATGCAGCAATTTCATCGGTACAAAATACTAATTAACTTTCAATGTAGACTGAGTAGGACACAGTAGGATAGATTTCAATGTAACCGTATAGTTTTGGTAATACATTGATTGTATTATATATGTATATTTATAGAAATATTAACAGTGCCTAGAATTATAAATAGAAGTTATGAAGTTATGATATATTTTGATACGTAATTCGGTAATTGTTTGCCACATTCCGTTTGTAATATTTGTTAATTATAATTAAACAAAGTTATTAATCTTACGACTTTACTCGATGTAGGGAGATTTTTATTGTTTAATTCAACATTTAACCATACGAAGTGAAGTGCCTTATCAACAATGTAAATTTGAAGTTAAATTAAATTAATGCAGTTGATGGAGATAATTGTTTAGTTATTTTTCTGTTACCTTCGGAGTACATTGCTAACCACAGTTTGACCCAATTTTCAAATGGAACTATGGAGTATTGCAAAATCGTAGTCGAAATGTGTACCCACTCAATATTGATTGTTAATTGTGGTTTAGATGATTCATAGTTATAATTTTATTAATGAATGAACACAGATTTATTTTTATTTATTGCATTTTTGAACAGTTATATCCTCCAATATTATAGATATTTAAGTATATCTACCTGATGGGTGTTGCTGATAGGTATACGTTCAAAGGTTTTGGACCAGAAGTGTATTTCGCTACAACAAGTGGCAAAATCATTTTTACAACAAACATTGTTGTGTGTATAACCATAATGTTGTCTTTTGGTACTCCTGCATCAATGAGTTTTAAAATCGACACACTGTCAGTTKCAGCAAATCCAATCTTTAATAATTACACAATACACATTATTATTGATTGATAAAAGAATAAAAATCAAACAAAAATTTGAGTGTATATTGATTTCAGAAAATGGATTAGCCTATCATTTCATCAAAACCTGTAAAAGGTCAAATATGTATGTAATGATATCAGTATGGAAGATTTGAAATACGTATATATATTATATAGAGAGAGTTATTAAATCAATTATAAAATTAATGTGAAAAAAATATTTAAAAAAAACATAGTTTACGCTTTGGAGGTAATAATACAATATTTACCTTAGCTGTCAGCAACGCTATTGCCAATAACTGAATACTAGGTAATTTTAAAATGTCCCATAGTAGTGAATAGTTTTGAACAATGTTGAGCTTTACGTGGTCTTCCTCTAATCTGTTATCTTTTTCTTTTTTGAAAATTGCAATCAATGTAGTTATCAATGTAAATAGAATACCCCAAACATAGAATAAACCTATATATTTTAAGAATTAGTTTTATTTTTAATTTTGACAGTCTGCAGTGTTTTTTTTTTACCATCCACTAAAGATCTACCAAAATGGGTTTTACATTCTTACATTTCATAGTGAACACTCCTCCTACGCCCGGCTGAATCCGTAAGTACTTATTGCTGAAGTCTTCCGAAGTCAATAAAACCGAAAACACAGAACTTATCATTATGCCCATCACTTGACCGGTCGAATTACAAGTAGAAGCATAGCCTACGTTATTCCTGTTAAAAAAAAAAAAAAAACGAATAGCAAAATATTGTACTAATTTGAAATAATAAACAAATTAACAACACACTAACTTCTTGAGCATTGTCAGAGCCCAACCGTCGACGACTATATCTTGAGTGGCGGCCAAGATTTTCGCGAAGAAAAAGACTGATACCAATTTCAGTATCTCTGGCTTTCGCGTTTCTGGCAACCATTCGTCGATATTGCCCGCCATGTAAATAAAGCATGCTCCTGTTTGACATAAACGATTTTATAAAATATATGGACAACACACTCCACTAGTATGTATCGTTAACGCTCATCATATCAAATAATATAAATGTTTTTGAAAACAAAATTTACATGATTCCCACTATTCTCACTCATAATGAAATGCAGTTTTTTATGTTTTTCACTTTTTGAATGTCATTATACAATTCTGACTTCATTTTCCAAAATTAAGCATTTTCCTAAGTAAAAATCGAATTCACGAAGAGTTTTTTATGAGTTATATCTAATTATTGAAAGTTCAAATGAGTGGATTAATGAACAAATATTTTGCGAGGTAACCGCGGCATACCACTCCACTCTGCTATGCTTTAAATACTTAAAACTCACAAATTGCTAGCTTTAAATTCGATTTATATGCATTGAAATACTTGTAGATATATCTGCTTTCAAAGATTAAATGAAAACTGTATGTTATCATTCTATAAAAGTAAAAAAATAAAATAAAATATTACAAGGCCAAAAAAACATTAAAAAAATTTTTTTTAGCGCGTTTTCGTAACAACTTGAAATCATGTACGAAAAATATTTTTAATAACATTAATAGTTTTTAAAATTATGAGTGGTTCGTAATAACAGAATCATCTTGTGCTATATTATAATATACGGAAATGCTTTAATGGACATATTTAAAAAAAATATACCACACTAGTATACACTACAGCATTGAGTTTTATGTTTTTCAAATGCTTGGATTCGTGATCGTGAAATACACATACCACCGATAATCAGAAAAATGCAGCTAATATACACAAATCATGACTTAATCTAAAGATATATCAAATAGGTTAAGTACTCTCTCGTTTGAATATATGCGTGTATGGCGGATACATTTATATAAATATACACTTACCCATTAAATATTGAACCGGAATAAGCCAAGATTTTCTTCTTCCTATCTTTTGTACGTACAGCGCGTCTACCAAAGGAGCCCATATCAGTTTTAAACTGAACGGCCATGCAACTAGACTGAATAAAGCCTGAAACAAAACACGACCACGTGTAAGTATGCTACAATTTTATATGAGTACATCACAAAACTTCGATAAATCGTATACAAAAGTATATTATTATACATTTAAATTATACAATATTAATCGCATATTAGACATCACTCAATTCTTAATGCCAAATCAGATATTTACTTGATCTTTGTAAGATACATTTTTGTTGCTTTGCAAAACTATTGGCATTGCCGATGCTATGCCTAATGGTATTCCTTGCATCGTATACAGCAACAACAATAAAAAAAAATTTAACCAATCTCCTTTCAAATCTGGCTTATCGGCTCCATTCGAATCATCATCTGTAATTGTCACGGGTTTTTGTAGTTCATCTCCGAGCTTTGGTACAGTCATGATGATAATTCGTTGCTAATTTATGAACGTGGTCCAAGACAAACGCGATCGGAYAAAAATGGAACCGTACCGATCGCTGCACTTTTCGTACTAAAGAGAAAGCAAGACAAAACGTATTTAATTAAAATCTTAGATGGCCTAAAACATAATTAAAATAATTGTCAATGCCATCGGGTATCGGGTAAGTATAGCTAGCCATAGAGTATTAGATTAAAAAAATATTACTATTATATATTTTTTTTTATTATTGAACTTAAAAACATCAACAGCAAACGTTATTAGTTTTTTTGTTTACTACATAACGAGTGACTTCTTATTATACTATCGTTGATAATTTATTAACAAACATATCAAAATGATAAAAATGCAAAATGCCGGGGTATGAAATACATTTAAAAAAAAAAAATATATTATAAAATAACTGAAAATATGCCTATAAATAGTTCAACTTAAATCGAAATTTTTTGAAAATTGCGAATATACTTATATAAACATTTGGAGAAAATCTGTTTAAAAGTTAAACCAAAAATCAAAATCGATTTTGTCGAAAACTGATTGTGCGTAAAATTTCCCGTTTTTCCCTTAATTTTTAGTTTGTTTAT